AGCCATACTTTGGTTCTTCAGATGCTGAAAGTTTTGCATCAGATGTGGAAGAGGAAGATGGTGAAGAACATAAGAAGAAAGTGGAGGAAAAAAAGAAAAAGAAGAGGTTGATCTTTGATCCTACTGTCAAGAAAATCACTTGGGAGTTAGGATTGATCTTTGAAAGTGTTCATCAGTTTAGGGAAGTAGTCACCAAATATGCAATTCAAAAAAGGGTGCAGATTGAGAAGTACATAAATGAGCCACATAGGGTGTGGGTTAGATGTGTGGCACCTAGATGTAGATGGCTTCTTGCAGCTAGTAAAGATGGGAGTTCCAATAATTTTAAGGTGAAAAGATATAATCCAGTGCACAAGTGTTATACAACCAACAAGAACAAGTTGTGTAATTCAAGATATCTTGCCAAAAAATTCAAGAGCAGAATTATGTCACAACCAGGTATGAAAGTTAGGGAGTTCAGAAAATTGATAAAGCAAAAACTGGACCTCTATGTAGGGAGATCAACTGCCCACAGGGCTAGAGCAAAGATATTGAAAGAAATCATTGGTGATGTGCATCAAGAGTTCAAAAGGCTCTATGACTACAGAGATATGATTTTGCAGACCAATCCTGGGAGTACCTGTGTGGTAAAAGCAGAAGATCCAGGTGATGGGAAGCTGGTATTCTCCAAAATCTATGTCTGTTTACATGCCATGAAAAGGGGCTGGCTGGAAGGATGCAGAAGAATTATTGGCCTTGATGGATGTTTCTTGAAAGGAGTTTGCAAGGGACAACTTCTTGTAGCTGTCTCCAAAGATGGAAACAATCAGATGTTTCCAATTGCATGGGCAGTTGTGGAGGTAGAGAACACATTCAATTGGACATGGTTTCTGAAATGTTTGAGTGAAGATTTGGGCTTACAAGATGGAAGAGACCTTACAATGATGTCTGATATGCAGAAGGTAACTACTTTCAGTTCTGCTTCAGTTGTTTAATTAAATTCTGTTCTGCTTCAGTTTTTCTGTTTTCATTATGTTCTGCTTCAGTTTTTCTGTTTTCAGTTGTTCTGCTTTTTATTGTTCTGGAATGCTGCAGGGTTTAATTAATGCTGTTAGAGACTTGTTACCTGAGTGTGAACACAGGATGTGTGCTAGGCACATCCTTACAAATTGGTCAAAAGAGTGGAGAGGGTTGGAGAGGAGAAATACTTTCTGGAGATGTGCAAGGGCTTCTAGTATTCCAGAATTGAATGACCAACTTGATATGCTAGACAAGCTTGGGGATGGAATATGTCAAAGTTTACTCCACTATAGAAAAGAAACATGGTGTAGAGCTTATTTTAACTGTGATAGGAAGTGTGATGTAATTGACAACAATATGTGTGAGACTTTCAATTCCTGGATTTTGGCTGAAAGACACAAAACAATCATCACAATGTTAGAGGATATTAGAATTAAGCTGATGACTAGGATAGGTAAGATGAGAGAGTTCTGTGAGACATGGATATGTGATATCTCCCCAATAGCAATGAAGATTTACCAGGATAATTTAGCCAAGTCTATGAAGTGTACTCCAAGATGGAATGGTGAAACAGGCTATGAGATTGAAGATACTAAATATAAGCATGTGGTATCCTTAGTGACTATGACCTGTAGTTGTAGAGCCTGGCAGTTAAAGGGCATTCCTTGTTGTCATGCAATTGCTAGTATGCATTACAAGGACATGGAACCTATTCACCACATTGCACATTGGTATCGTAAGTCCACTTACTTGAAGGCTTATTCAACTTTTATCCAGCCTGTCCCATGTATGAAGCAATGGCCATCTTCAAGCCACCCCTTATTGAACCTCCCCCTATTAGAAACATGCCTGGCAGACCAAAAAAAAATAGGAAAAGAGAAGAAACTGAACACCCAAAATCTGGAAAGCTTTCAAGGAGAGGTATGGAGATGACTTGTTCCCTTTGTGGTGTGTGTGGACACAATAAGAGGGGATGCCCAAGTAAAAAATCTGCAGCTGGAAATGCTACTGCTGGAGCTGCTTCAGCTGGTACTGCTTCTACTGGAACTACTGCAGCTGGAATTGCTTCTGCTGGAACTGCTGCAGCTGATACTGCTTCTGCTGGAAATGGTAGAGGAAGAGCAAGAGCAAGAGGAACAGGTAGAGGGGTTGGAAGAGGTAGAGGCAGTGGTTATGGGTTGTTTCAAGCAAGTAATGGGTTTACTTCTTTTACAGTAAGTTTGCTAACTAAATGTATAATTACTGTGTCTTCCTTCTATTGAATGTGATGTTGTAACTAACTACACTTTACTTTGGCAGAGTGGAGGACAAAATCCAAGGATTATTAGCACCGGAACTAACACTAAGAGATCCACAGCTTCAACAGAGGAATGTGCTTACCAACCAAGAAGTGCCGGCTTGAGGTGGATGGGCAAAAAAGCCACAAGCACAAGACAACTTCAAAGAAATGTAGCATCAAAACACAATCTTAGTCAAGCTAGTTCATCATCTCAACCAACCAAGAAGCAGAAAAAGAAATGAAGACTTTGTTTGTTGCTTAAGCTTTATATTTTGTTAAGTATTGCAGCTGATAACAATGTGTTATGTTTTGTAAAGTGTTGCTATGGACAACCAAGTAAAGTGCTATATTTTGTGTAGTGTTGCTATGGTCAACCAAGTACTATATTTTGTAAAGAAATGCTTATCAGATTAGGTGTCCACTAATGAACGTCTATTTTGTGGAAATGAAGTATATTTAGGTCTTGAAATCGTTTAAGCTGCTCAAATTCTACAATCTTAGTCTATTTTGTGGAAATGAACGTCTATTTTGTACTGCTTTGCTTTGGTTATACAAATTCTACATTTGCCATGTTTCGTTCCCAAAGCTAAATAGAGATGTAACACTAAATATATAGGAATGTAACACCAGCTTTACTACAAAATAGGGGTTGACCCTCATAGAAAACAAGCTCAATGAGCCAAATACATGAAGACCCAATACATTGGAATATCATTACACTATATAGCAGTGTTGAGAACTACCAAATACAATGGCCTTAATGAAGATTAATCCTAAAATCAGAAAAAAAAAGCCTCCTCCAGTTCCACTATTTTCTGGATTCCTGCAAATGGCCTTCAAGCTGATTCTTCTTCTTAAGCAAACCCAAAATCACCGGCTTCAAGTGTTCATGAGTTGGGGGGTCAAACCATGCGAAATACTTGCAGCCAATTGACTTATCTTTCTGCAAATCCATAAACAATTTGAGAAGAAGCTTATAAAATCTTGAAATCGAATATAACGCAATATGTAAGATTACCTCGTAATTTTTACAGCCATAGAATCGACGACCAGGATTGTCGTTGCTCCATGAAATTACTAGTTCAGCAGCATCTCTACATCGACAAAATGGACCCGAACTCTCCGTTCAATAAGAACCCTAATATGAGAATTGACAGAAGAATGATAATGTAATGCACTTTAATTTACCAAATATAACCAGCCTCTCAATATTAGTTGTGGAAGGTGAAGAAGAAGATTGTTTGGTTCAGAACATTGTTTGGTTCCTTTAAAGAAGAAGAAGATGAAATAAGAGGGAGATGAAGAATTGGGGCAGAAAATGGGCGTTAGGGTTAAAGAAAATGGACCCAAATTTTAGTAAATAGCCGTTGTAATTAGTCAGTGAAGGCAGAAAGTAACTATTCACGCGCCCCACTGGTCGTGTTTCACACGCCCCAGAGGCTGGTCAAAAGTAGTGTGTAATTGACACACTTTTAAAAGGTTTGNACACTTTTAAAAGGTTTGGTGTGTAAAATAAAACCCGTGTTCAACAGGTGTGTAAGAGGGATTTGGTCCTAAGTTTGATGGGTAGATTATGTATTTTGCCTATACTAAAAGAAATTATATAAGGAAATATATATACATAACATACTATATATATATATACCATAAAACATTACAAGATTTTTCAAAAGGAGCCCCACCCCAATGACCATATATATATATATATATATATATATATATATATATATATATATATATATATATATATATATATATAACATACTATATATACTACAAGAAATTATATAAGGAAATATATATACATAACATACTATATATACTATATATATATATATATATATATATACATACACACACTAACATACTATATATACTACAAAATATTACAAGATTTTTCAAAAGGAGGGCCCCACCCCAATGACCATTGCCAACGGTCATATGGCACAAATAGCCTATTTTTTTTTCTTTTTCAATTTACAAAACTAACCTTCTCTAAAACTATAAATACCCCCTCCCTCTTCTTCATTTCAATACTCAATACTCATTTCTCAATCTAAATTTCTCTCATTCTCTCAATCTCCAATTTTCAAGGCTTCAAGTCTCAATCTCAAATTTCAAGTTAAATCATGCCTCGTTCGGAAAGAGTGCGCTTATTTGTTTCGCAACACTTTGAAGTGCTTGAAGAAAATAAAGAAGGCCAAATATTAAAGTGCAAGAACTGTGGTAGAGTCTTAAATTTTCGTTCAGGGTGTACTACAGGCATTTTAAGGAGGCATATAAAGTATTGTCTTGAGCATATTTATCCGAAAATTCGTATTTAAGATTTTTCGACAATTTGTGTTATTTTAAAATTATTAGACGTATTTATGCTTAATGTTTTACTTTGTTATTAATTTATTATGCATGATAATTTAGTTTTACTATTGTTTTGTTATTTTACTTTTTCTTCAAGCACTTTAATAATTAGGTTTCTATATTATATATACTACATATATTTATATAGCCATGTATAAGAAAGCAATTTATATTAGTATATACATATATGGTTTACAAGAAATTGACCTAAACAAAAAAAATTTAAAAAAATAGCCCGAAAATAAAAAAGCCCGTTAGGCCCGTATGGGCCCGTGAGCCCGGCCCATTTAGCCCAGGACCATGTGGGCTTAGGCTCGTCATGGGCTGGTTCCACCCGTTGAGCCCATGAAGCCCGGGACCGCTAGAGCCCAGCCCGCTTGAGCCCGGCCCCGTTTGGCCCGGTCCATTTGGCCCATTTAGGCCCGGGTCCGGCCCAGAATACAGCATTATGTGGAATAGGATAGAGAAGGTTAAAAAAGAGTTTTGAAAAATATTTTCCCTACTTTTGATAAGGAAAATATTTTCCTCCAATTGGAGGAAAATAAGTTGATGAGGACAATATTTTTCAAATTATTTAAACCAATCAAACATGAAAAAATTGAAAAATATTTTTCCTAAACACACCCTTGATCTCGTTAATATTTATAGCAGACCATCGATTGTTGCATTGATTTAAATTGACTCGTAATGAATGGTTTCCCCCAACTTTTAACTTTAGGAGAAAATAAAGGGTACTATTGAAGATTCGAAGTAGATATAAACATTTATTCATTTGCTATTCTATATGATTGAATGCTGGAAAAAGTGAATGATATATTAATTTGGCTTGGATAAATTTTTTCTTAAGATACGAATTGGGCTAATGAATTCATAGAAGTTCGTCCTGGCAATTTTTTCAATTTGAATAGCTCACATGCTTTCACAAGTCAATTTCATCAAAAAAAAATAATACCATTATGTATTTTAATAATAATAATAATAATAATAATAATAATTATTCTTACTTCAGTAAACATAAAGACTAAAGCTACTTAAGTGTATATTAAAAGAGCCATCCTAGACCAACCCAAACATTAGAAACTATTTTCTTAATTGTCTCTTTAGGAGGAGATAGTCGTTGTGTTTTTCACCTCTAGCGATTCTTTGTTTTTCTTTTTTCTTTTTTCTGAGACCTTCAGCTGTTTTGATGTAACTAAAACTTTGACCTATTAAGTTTTGTCAGCTATATTATAGGGGAATTCAAAATTTCAAGAGGGTAGCTACATTATTATGACGAGGTGAATTTAGTAATATAAATTTAACGGGTTTAACCCTTAAGTTCTTATTATTGTAAGCATTATGCTTTTGAAATTATAAGACCAAAAATACTTCTTCTTTTTTATTAAAAAATGATGTTTTACATGTATATCTATAATTCATAGCGAAAATATTGAAATTAGTTTAACTCATTGACTTTGTGCTACATCATCCACTGTTATTAGTTTTAATATACACATTTACTGACGAGCGCAAAACCGACATGTAAAAGTGAAGCTCGCTAGTCAAAATAATATAGTAAAATATCATCTCCACAGGGGTTGGATTTAAACAATCTTCAATTTTTGATATCCAGACTTGGCCCTTAAATCCCAAACACGATCCCGCCTTAATTCCTTGGGCTTCTGCTCAAGTTTCAAAGCTCCAAATTCATCCATTTTAGCTCCAAAATTGCTTCTCAACCCGATATCACATCCTACACAGTATAGCACACATAATAAGTACAAAAGTACTAATAATTAGGCTCAAATACAAATAAAGTGCAGTAATTAAAGTGCAAAATATAGCTAAAAATATGAGTTCCTAGCCTACCATCAATATCCCACATGTAGACCACTGCTCGTCCTCGAGCAATACAAACTACACTTCAAATAGATGTTACTTTTTCAAGCAACTTTTCTAACTAATCATGCCAAGACTATTTAAAACAGACTAAGCACCATACCGTAACATCTTGTCCTCAAGACTCAACTCAAAAGCACTAATTTTTGAAAAATTGCTCACTTACTCTAACAAAGAAGCCAAAGATATTATATTTTTCTTGCAAGTCATGCGTCCCTCACAAAAACAACAGAGAGCAGTCCCACACACATAAAATTCAAGAATAAATAGGGACTCAGAATAGGTAGAATTAATTTATTCTCAAAAATAGAAGTCACGTGCCACACAAGATGTACCATAGGCTTGTCCGTATTGTAACACTCACTAATTCGAGCTCACTCTGTTAAGGATCGCGTATGACTTTATTTTTGTTATAATGTAGGCTGCGAGACATGTAGGATACAATTTGGATAATAGTGACTACACCTCCCTAAGCACTTTATCACATACACATTAACACTTTAAATCCCACACCCCAACCTTCACAAAATAATAGCATCAAACTCCCAATTTTTTTATGTACAAACAAGATGAGATCTACCACTAGAAAGGAATAAATGTTTCTTTCTATTACATACTCAAACTTCTTTTTTTCTTTTTTTTTCTCCTTTCTAGGTTCTAATCTTTTCTCTTTTCAAGCAAATTATCTTTTTTTCAATTTACTACAAGTGGCTCTCACAATTTTTTATCAAACAGTGCACCTTTTTCCATTTTTTCTAAATTTCACTCGAAAATCCAACCATACATCCACTTAGGTTTTAACAAGCTCATAAAAACTTCATGTGCTTAAGAGAGGATAAAGGTTCAAAAAGATGGTCAATTCAAATAAAGGGAGTTAGAGTTATAGTATAGTTGCCAAAGAAATAATATTACATGCACAAAGGGGCTAACTAGGATACACAATAATTAGGTGGATCAAAAACATATATCTGGCTCGACAAAAAAATATCTATATCACTTCCTAGAC